AAGTCGTCGTGGCCTAAAGGATAAGACGTCCGGTGTATTCGTATCTAGCGATGCACCGGTGTTCGAATCCCGCAGGCGGGGGTACCAATTTTTCTAATGAAATACGTACTTAACAAATGTTCACGATTGACTTCCACGGTGAAGGAATAACATCGTGTAATAAAAATCAAACCCGCAAAATTATAATTTGCGTAATTACTGGTGGTAGGACCTCTTGTGAGTCCGCACGGGTAGGTACCACCGCCCCACCTATTTCTGCCGTGAAGCAGTAATGCGTTTCGGTTTGAAGGGTGGGGCAGCCGTTGTAACTATACTGAGACCTTAGTACTTATATCTCAAGGTGTATGGCGCATTTACGCTGTAGATGTCTATGGGCTCCAGTAACCACTTAACACCAGGTGGGCTGTGAGCTCGCCCCCAAATCTAAGCAATAAAAAAAAAAAAAAAAAATACAATAATCGAAGAGTCAGACAGACCAATATTGGCCTATCAACAATGAAAGTCCTGACAGATTAAACATAAGAGTATACCACACGAGAGCACAGCGATATTTATGACAAAAATATGACAGGTATTTCCTCCTGGTGTTTTTAGTTGTAAATATTTATATATCTTGGGGAAATATGTACCGCAACGGGTATATGGAAAATACTCGGATGCAGTGTTTTGGATGATACAGCCGTAAAGCATATTTAATGGCGGTCTGTCCCTTATATGTGAAAGGTCGCCTATCGGGTATCATCGCAATTTCTAGTTCTTCCGCCAAACAGCAGTGTAAATGCACGGTTGTTTTCCAGTTTCAAAAACTTTGTGGCCAGAGTAACTATGTGTATTGAGACTTAAGATCATATGTCTCAGGATGGCGAGTGCAGTGAAATGCCAGGCTTTGCTTTGTAATTCATGGTGTTGTTTGGTTATGCTGCTATCCATGAGCGGTCGTATCGCTTATCATCAAGCGAATGGCATGCTCGTCTCGCCTTTCATTGCAGTAAAAAAAGCGGTGAATCACTCTGTCTCATAAGTGTGCACAGTGTGAACATTTCTTGTCATTATTCTGAGATTATATTACATAGAAATACGACACATTACTTGAGCTTAATTGTTTGATATACAGAACAGTAACTTGGCTAAGCTAACTCTAACATATCGCAATACTATGTAGTAAGATATCATATTATATTAAAAAAGGCAACAAGCTAACATTTTATTACCTTAGGGAATACTGAAGGAACCGCTTCTGGTTTTAACTTTTTCTTAGTTTCTGTTAAATAGTCATCTTGATTAAAATGCAAACTACAAACGCAAGCAAATTTTGACATATTATTGTCAAGATTCATGGAAGTAATCCACAAAGCCCTCTGTTTTTCATTAGCTGGAATCCTGAAAACAGGACACGAAATTGTGACAATGCCTTAACAACCGATTGATATTTGTGGTTTACACTCTATGAAAAAACAAAAAAAAACAGCTATTTCTCACGCCAAATAGCAGTATATATGCACTGTTGTGTTGCAGTTTGAGGGACATTGTATCCAGAGCAACTAGGGACATATTGAGACTTAACATATTATGTCATGTCTAAGCACAGTGGAATGCAAAGCATTGCTTTGTAATATATGGTGTCGGTTGGTTTTACTACTGTCCATAAGCGGTCGTATCGCTTAACTTCAGACAAATTATGTACATGCTTGCGTGCGACGCTATTCAATGCAATAAAAAAAAGTAAAAAATATACCACGTGATGGCTCTTACATTGCAAAATTATAGTTTTTCACGATTGATTTTTCAAATTTAGTATATGACATAGATTAAGCATAATTTACAAGACAAATTATAAAATTATTATATTAAATATTATAATGATAAAAAATATCTCATATTTTAAAAAATTATGCTCACACTAAAAATTAATCAATGAATCTTACCTATGGAAAGATATTCCACAGCCTGGATAGGATTCTCGCTTACAACCACTTACAATACAAGTGTTTACCATGATTACATGGAAACTCTCACGATTTTCGAAAAAAAAAAACAAGCCACAAACTGTAACAGTGCCCCTATAGCTTCGAACTACAAACGTAAATAGACGCCATATTTGTTTTTATCCATTCATTGCTTGTTTTTTTTTTTTTTAAGTTTTTATGACCTGGTAACTAAGACCTTTAAGTCATGTCTTATTTTAATTTATTTTCTATTTTTATGAAAAATGATGAAATGAAATGAAGATGATTAATTTGAGACATTAATCAACTGGGATGAAATCAAATGAAATGAGATGAGATGATATGGGATGAAATATAATCTCAGTAAAATGGTGGTCATCTACTGAGACTTTTTCATTGGACTTTTTGGAGGATCCCGAGAAGTGACGTCCAGCGGCTTTGTTTCATTTTCCCACATTAGTGCACTTTCACAGATATTAAACAGTTAATAAACCACCGTTATTACACATTTAAACCTGAAAAAACACTAAATAGACAAAATAAAACAAATCACACAACTTCACTCCTCGCGTTCCCGCCAAAAAGTCCCATTCATTGCTGTTTTTCGATGCTGCCAACTATTAATCTGGCTACCCACCAGATTCCACATTAACCTACCATTAAATTTTCCATTATGTTTAAGTTCTTACTATTCTTCTTATCATTATAGAACAATACAATTTTTGTTCAGGAGCTTTATTGATATATGATGTTCTATTAAACATCAATGTATTTATATTTCTTATATAATTTATTTTAATAAATGTCATCATCAGAAAAATCATTTCACCAATATTTTTCACTTATGTACGTTTCTTTTGAACCAATTGAATATTTGACGTTGGATGGAAATTCTAAATTGTCGCAACATTTTCTAGTTAAGTTTAAGTCACATCGTATTCATAAGATAGCCGTTAATATAATATGTATTTAGATATATTATTGTCATAACTACTAAAAAATCCACTAATCACTAAAAGCCATTTTTAATAACTAGGACAGGAGCCCAAATGACCAGATTTTGTAGAAAATCCACTAAGTTAGCAACACTGCTTTTTGTGTGTTACCGGCATGGAGTTAATAAGTATAGTAACTCTATGAATACCGGTCACTCACATGCGCACGAATACGCAAACCCGCAAGTGTAGGACGACATTTGCAAATGATTATGCAAAGTTTTCGCTGCATTCGTGGTTTTCCAAGCTGTGTCGGTTTTCTAACAGACATCAAAGCGCGCGAACCTCGAACCTTCGCGTAGTCTCCCACACATTCGTTTGCTTAGTTGCGCCGACGATTACGAAGGTAACGGACGTATCGGCATTTTCATAGTCCCTGGCGTCTACGGTGTAGCGTATCTTCATCAAAAGAAATCTCATAAAAAAAGCATGGCTGTTAATGATGTCTGGGAAAGAATTCAAAACTCTTTTTCTCTTCAATGTTCTATTGACGAATAAAAAAGGAGGAGAAATTCGTGAGATATTCGTAAACAAGTGTAGGAGGAAGCGCAAACGGGTTCGCAAATTGAGTATGCGAACCCATTTGCACAGCCGCTAGATTTGCGAATGAATGTTTGACGGCCCTTCACATGCGCGCAAACATTCGTATAATGTACGAATATTTGCCCGCATGTGAGTGGCTAGCGTAATATGTGCGACAGGGACACTACCACTTAACTTAATAAATCATTCTCTTTTCAGACCGTTTTTCCTTACATCTTTTGATATTTAAAAATAAACTAAACCACAGACAAAGTATATTTTTAGTTTCTATGTCAAACGAAGTAAGCACTCCAGTTAAAATATGGAGGGTATGGTAGAGGTATGGTATGGAAGGTAGCAATAATTTTAGGTTATATTGACGAAATTAGCTTGGACTACGTGAACATTTGAGGTCTTGTATATTATACTGTCACTAACTACTCTAATCATTAAATATATTTAATTTCCTAACTCAGCACATACTTCTATCAGTTAACAACGGCTCAATTAATATTATACCCTGTGCCTATGCTAGCGCCATTTTGGAGGATTTTTGAACAGTTATTTAGTGCTGAAAGTAAGACACTTTTTTAAGCTTCTCCCATATGAGACGGTTCTCCTTACCTCTACGGTATATGTACGGCACTGAGCAAGTAATCACTACGTTTATGATTTATAGATGTACGGTACCATACTAACTTTAAGGGGCGACCACAGATTTTTTTCAACTTCACAGGCGTCGACAGAGGGAACATGGTCCGTACGCCGAATTCATTTAGAAAAAGACGAAGCTGTAAAAATGAAGTGGAAGTTTGTTTAGTGAAATTGATTTGTACCATTCGGTGGGAATCTGAAAAGCCACGTTCAGCATTTTCCCACGTTTGTGAACTTTCCTAAATACTAAACTGTTAACAAAGCTAATATTAATTGCATAGCAATAAAATGACAATGATAAAAATTATAAGGCAAAGGTAAGAAGCATCATCTTGTTTAGGGGACAAATAGTAAAAGTAAACCTGTAAACTGCAACAAAATACTTCGAAGACTGATCAAAATAGCGCTAATGTAGAAAATAGAAATGATATGAAGCAGTTTTAGGCAGACGGAAGTGTGCTAGATTGCATATCGGAACAGAGCCTAAGTGTGGTAGCTTATGTTGCTATTTTTTAAATCTCTGCACTAGCTACTATGGCACCACCTTAACTGATTCCCTTTCAGCCGACCCTTCTTATTATACTAGATGGTATTCCTTCTACCCCCCATAATGCAATAATATCTCATATAAAAAGAAAACAAACCTGTTCAGTTTAGGAATGTTTGCCCTAAGTAGCAGTCGAATCTACGACTACTTATTACCATTGCGCTCATCACAGCTTTTTTTTTCAATATAATATTTTCTTTTGTACTGTTTTTGCTTTTTAAGGTTAATAGAATCCGTATTTTTTTATTTTACTGGCTCTATGATTTCCCAATCTATTGCACAAAAATGAGAAAAACGTAAATTTTGTCTATGTTCACATCATATGATCAATTTTCTTTTCGATTGATTATTACAAGTAAAATCAAGAAATAGCGTCTCTAGGTTTTGGTTCCGAGTTGAACGGGCGTAAACTATTTCTTGTTTCCCTTAAAATTATCATTAAAATGAAGGGTTGCATATTTAATATTGATGCTGGGTATTTGGAGGGCTTGTGCCGTGGTTTCAAATGTGGTATTCTGAAACAATCTGACTACTTGAACTTGGTGCAGTGTGAGACACTTGAAGGTATGTTTTTTTTTTATTTAATTTTTTATTGCTTAGATGGGTGGACGAGTTTACAGCCCACCTGGTGTTAATTGGTTACTTGAGCCCATAGACATCTACAATGTAAATGCGCCACACACCTTGAGATATAAGTTCTAAGGTCTCAAGTATTGTTACAACGGCTGCCCCACCCTTCAAACCGAAACGCATTACTGCTTTGCGGCAGAAATAGGCAGGGTGGTGGTACCTACCCGCGCGGACTCAGAAGTGGTCCTACCATCAATAAAAAAGCTATTCCCATTAGTCATTATTTTTCTTTTTGAAATAGTTCTTCATAAAATTAATAGATTTTTTTGGTATCTTCCTCAGTTTTATTTATTCATATCTAGTTTAAAATATAACCTTGACACTGCTGTTTTTCAAAATAATATTAAATTAAGCAATGTCGGAGTTAGTTCGAAATGAGATAGCTGTTAAATAATAGCTATTATTATTTTCAAATTATTGAAATTCCATATCTCTTATTAAATCTATACTTTTTTTTAGTTACTACTCATGAAAACTATAGTTGCATTTTACAATTAAAATATAATTAATGAAATACTAAAAAAATAATCATGATTTCAATAATCATGATAGGCAGCAGCTCGGCTCTGCCCTTGGCATTGCTGACGTCCATGGGCGATGGTGATCACTTTCTATCAGGTGGGCCATATGCTCGTCTGCCTATAAAGGCAATAAATTTTTTTAGTAATTATCCATTGTAGATAATGTGTCTAATACAATGTAATATCTTATGTTAATAGATCTAAAGCTCCATCTTCAGGGTACAGATTATGGCACTTTCCTTGCCAACGAGCCCAGCCCCCTCTCTGTATCTACTATTGATGACAAGCTTCGTGAAAAGCTTGTTATTGAATTCCAACATCTTCGGAATCACTCTGTAGAGCCTCTGTCAACATTTTTGGATTTCATTACCTACAGCTATATGATTGATAACATAATTTTGTTGATTACTGGTACATTGCACCAGAGACCTATCTCGGAGTTAATTCCAAAGTGCCATCCATTAGGCTCATTTGAGCAGATGGAAGCTATTCATGTAGCTGCAACACCAGCTGAACTTTACAATGCTGTGTTGGTGGACACACCATTGGCTCCATTCTTTGTGGATTGCATTAGCGAACAAGACTTGGATGAAATGAATATTGAGATTATCCGGAACACTCTATACAAGGCATATTTGGAAGCTTTTTATGATTTCTGTAAGCAAATCGGAGGAACTACTGCTGATGTGATGTGCGAAATCTTAGCTGTAAGTAATAGTGTAAGAAAATCTTGATAGGAATGAAACTAGTAACAAAACAAAATAACCTCACAAGCACCTTTACCCTATTTTGACATAATTAACCTACTAATAGTTTTATTTATACAGCTAAAGATTTAATATGGTAATAAAAGTTTCTGGAGTAAGTGTAATTGTGTATCATGAAACACAGTTTTTTTTTTATGAAAATGAAAGTGAGATGAACCTTTTCAGTTTGAAGCCGATCGCCGTGCTATTATCATTACAATCAACTCTTTTGGCACTGAACTGTCCAAGGATGACCGTGCTAAATTGTATCCCCGCTGTGGCAAACTCAACCCTGATGGTCTTGCCGCACTGGCTCGTGCTGATGATTATGAACAAGTGAAGGCTGTTGCTGAATACTATGCTGAGTATTCTGCTTTGTTTGAAGGAGCTGGCAATAATGTGGGAGACAAAACTTTGGAAGACAAGTTCTTTGAACATGAGGTAATTAGTGTTTGGAAAGTATGAATCATCATCAGCAGCCCACAGAGGGTATTGAATTAATAATGCATGAATAGTGATTAGTAAATATTTAATATTTATACAACATTGTTGCATACTGTTAGAAAATTAATAAATTTCATCAAGCATCTTATTCTGAAAATAAAAATCTAAATCGCATTTACCTTTTTATTTAATAAAAAGAAGGTAAAAATGCAGTAGATATATATTTTTAGTATAATACTGACCGACTGTAAAAATATAAAATAGATCATTAAGCCACATCAACACCAGCTACTTTTTGTGTTGTGATTTAATGAAAAACATTTATTATTCCAGGTAAGCCTTAATGTTCATGCTTTCCTGCAACAATTCCATTTTGGAGTTTTCTATTCTTATCTGAAATTAAAGGAACAGGAGTGCCGTAACATTGTTTGGATCAGTGAATGCGTGGCCCAGAAACATCGTGCCAAAATCGACAACTACATTCCAATCTTCTAATTATTCATAAAATAATGTTTGTAGTATTCTTTCCTTGTACATAGTAGGGAACCATATAACTACTTTTTTGATTGCCGCATATAAACATGGCTACCAAGCGAGCATGCCACCACTCAGTGCCACCAGACATTGTAATAGAAAAATTTGATATCAGTGCATGGTGATAATAAACATTAAAAAATTGAGGTTACAATTTTTAAAAAAGCTTGGCAACATGAGAGTAGACTTGAATGATGTCATCAGTCTGTAGTTTAATGTAAAAACAGATTTAAAAAATCACACTAATAGATTATAAAAATCACTAATAGATCACAAAACATCAAATTGAATGCTAAAACTAAAAGAAAAATATGTTAATCATTGTTAATGTTATCTATTAATCTTCATAGTATCTATATCCATTCTATTATTATTATGGTTGAATTAATATGCATTACATAGTCATGCATAGAATAATCAATTATTCAGTTAAGTACATACTTCTGAAACATTTTTAGAATAATAAAAACATTATATTAAATGTGCTTAAGTATTGAAAAAATTTATGAATGCTGGAATTTCTTGATTAAAACATTTTATCATTTCCTGGTAGTTTACAATTATAATGTAATAAAATTAATCAACCATTTAATTGACATTAATAAAATATTACAGTTTTTATTTCATGATTTAAAGGTGTATACATTTAATCCATGGAAGTTTTTACATTCCATACCATGTGCTATTTTCATGTATGTATTTTGGAAATTTCCAGTATTCAGCAATTTTATATTCACTGTTATTAATATTACTTGTAATAAAAATTATGTATCTTATTTCCAAATAAATTATTAGTTGAAATGTTAATGAGTATTTCTTTTTAGATATTATTTCCCCATAGATACCAGCGGCTACGAAAATTTATGAATGTAATACGGTTAAATTCTGTGTTTATTATTGTCCATGTATTATTTAGGATGTTAAATTTTCATTAAATGTACCGTATATATTAAGTGCGCAAACTAAGTTGTCGTTATATGTCTTAAATAATAAGTGTATTCTAGTAAATATGTTGTATGCATAGACACTTATAGTCGGATTTTTAATTAGACGAAGCCAGCTGACAGTAGCTAATGTCACTTTGTGAAATAATGTTGCTATATTTAAAGTAATAGTGATGCCTTCAGTTCTCGTTCAATCACATGAATGAACAATGAGTGTGAAGAGTTAATCATTAATTTCAAACTATAAAAGAATATTATTTATATTTTACAATAAAATTGTATTAAAGTGCTCCAATATATGTTACTAGTAGTATGTTTTTATTTTCATTACATACCTATAATTGTTATATTTTATACATCTATAGTTTCAACTATATGATGTATTGGAAATAGGACAGTCTTACAAGCTTCCTCGCAATGTTTTTCTTAATGTTTAAAACACTCGGTATTCAGTACAGGTAGATACTATAGGAACATAATATTTCATCGAAAACTCGTTGGTATGTACAAAGCACGCCTAAAATTCGAACCCCGTACCCGATATCGGCAATTCGGCACACCAACGGCAATTCGGCACACCACTAGACAATCGAGGCAATTTCATTAATTCAGGAGTTTTTTCAATCGTTCACTTTGTCACAACACTATTTTTATTTCATCAAAAACTGACAACACAGCAAACGTCAGTTGACTTCGTCTAATAAAAAATCCGACTATAAATAGAACTCGACGTGCAACATAAACTATAGACAGAACCCACAGCCGTTTCATGGGTCGTGATTCCGATCCGGTCATAGATCTTTATTAATACACTTATTATAATATATATTAATATTTATAAATTAATTATATAAAATAATATTCACGGCAGTTTCAGCGAAACACAGTTCTTGTTAGAATTATTGTGAGGTTGAACCCGTGAGGTCACCTACCAGCCCAGAAATGATTCCGTAGGCTACCGACGAATCAGTAGATTAAAAAAAGGCAGTGTTTCAATAAAAAAAAATAATTGCTTATATGGGTGGACGAGCTCGCAGCCCACCTGGTATTAAGTGGTTACCGAGCAAACGGCCAAGCGCTCGGCCAAACGAAGTGGTGAGCCAGTAGCTCGGCTGCCATTCTAGTTACTAGGCCGAGTGTCCACCCTCCCGCTTCCACGGACTGTCTCGGTCGCTCACTCGGCAGGTCTAAGAGTGCACTTTCTCGCCACTCGGCCACATGATTGTTATCACGTCGCCGCGCACGCCTTTTTTGAGATATTTTTTTCTTTAAAACAACTCCAAACAAAACAACAATACACCATGTCTGCTAATATCAAATGAGACGTCGAAACAACTATAAAATTTATACAGTTATATAAACTACATCCGTGTCTGTGGAACTTGCGTTGCTCTTTTTCCGGCAATTCCTTTAATTCTTCTGATAATAGTGGAATGAGTAACTTTTTATAATTTGTAATAATCATTTTACGATCCATCATGTCCGAATTAAAGTCTCAATAGAACTGTGTGCTTAGTGCGAGTTTCTTAATGTTCTCGATAACGTAAAAATTAAGCCAATTTTGTATGCAATTGGAACAGCGCCCCTACCTGCAAACGTACGCAAATGATCTCATTCCATACAAATTTAATATGAGCTAGCTTGTACGCTATCGAGAACGTTAAAAAACTCGCACTAAGCACACTGAACTGAAACTGACTGTGCTAATTTCAAAACACGTGTGAACAGCTACTCGCTTACATCACTTGTTTCTGGGCCGAGACGGCGCAGAAACATTTTACGTCTCGCCCGTTTGCTCGGTACGTGTGATCAAGCCATTAAAGATGGGAAAGCTAATAACTGTTTTACACCAGACGGACCATAAGGCCACCCCCTTCCAAGTGCACCTTAAGATACCGTTTCATTTTCGTGCGAATCATATTCAGTATGCGAAATTCTAATGATAAAAGATAATGTTATTACTTGTTTGAAGGTTGGAACATCTATCATTTATTAAAATTGAGAATTCAACCTAGATTACAGTGGACAGCTGCATTCATGTTGTCAACATGAGTCAGTCTAAAGACATTAAGTCTGTTTAACTATTTCAAGCTATTAGTAAGGAAAAAGCCAGTACTTTAGAATTATACCTGTACTTCCATAATGGTAATAAATAAAAGACACTAAAAGTTTGGTAGCCTTATTTTTTAGGAAAGCTGATGTTTAACATCAAATACAAAATTTAAAATCGTACATCTAAAATAACTCAACAGTTTAATATAGTATTACGCTATAGTTTAATATAGTATTAAACTGTTCCTCATAATAAATAGATGTCATTGTTATGTCAAGCTTCTAAATGATTTTCATATTTACTTAACTGATCTTCTATGATTTCTGTTGTAGGACCTTTATACATTAAATTTTGTTTAGATTTTTTTACAGATAATATATATATGTTTTCTTTCCAAAATTTATCCTTTAACATATCATCATGAACATCCACAATGATAGATTTGTTCACTTTATTGTGCAATAAAGACTTTCGCAATAGAATTGTTCCCCTCTTGAATATTTCTGGTTCATTGTTATAGTTCATGTTAAACTCTTGAAATAAGATTTCATTTTTATCAGCAGACACTGTCCCACTTAGACGCTTCTCAGCCTAGAATGAAACATTACTGTAAATCTTTCACTGATGCTATAGCTTAATATAAGATACAGATTGACAAATTTTCAACCTTTTGTATTAATGATATTGTGTATATGGGCTGAAGTAATGTAACACCATGATGTTTATGCTGTCAGCCCTTTTATACAGGCTGTAAAGGATTGTACACCAAAACAAAATGTCCAATAAACTCATATCGTTTAAGACAAGTAAGATACTGAAAACAGTATTCACATACATGTATCAAACATCAGTGGTCATTTAGGTAAGCTTATATTTTATGAAATAATTACAATGGATGTTAAATAACCTATGCTTATTCTATGTCCAGTCATAGATCAAGATTCATCAGTATTGTGCCAAAACTTCAGAAAAATGTATTTTTTTGCAATTTATTTATCATAATTTTTTTCAGAAAGGTTCCCCACCCGTACACCTATAATTTAGATTGGAAGCAGTTCTGACATTAGTTATTCATTGCATGTCATAAAGAACAACAACGAACGCTTCTGTAAAATCAAATAAATATAGTATAAATTGATCTTAAATTTGAAATTGATTTACCTGCACAGGGGTCAACTGCCCCTTCAAAATTAAAGTCCAGAAGGTAGTGTTGTATAAATTATTTATGTGTACATCAGCCTGTCTCCACTTCATATAATCTATTAAATTTTCGTCACAAGGATACAAAACAATGCGCCCGTCAAAACAAGGGGGATATTTCAATGGCAGATGTTCAAAGAATTTGTTCCAGTAGAAAACATACGATGACGAAAATTTACTATTTATTGTTGTTAATAATTTTGCTGAGCGCCGTTTATACAAACAACTGTCTTTTCTAAGTACGAATGAATATTCATCACTTTGCCCAAATGATAACAAAATATCACTATATTCTTTTAAAACAGTATATGCAGCATAGTTCATCAATTTTAGAGCCCGCAAGTCGTTAGGCTTCGTAAAGTTGTGGTCGTCTGCAAATTTATGAAAGCATTTACCGTCTAATCTTATAACTATCCATGTATTTGGTAACAACGAATCATCATGTTCAAATTTTTTTACGTATTCGAAGGAACTCTTTGCCATTTTAAGTACTAGGAAATTTGTGGATAAATAGTGTTTTACAATCCTGGTCGATTTTAATTTCCACATATAAGTAAAAGCTTTACTGTATTTTCAAAACAAATGATTAATTGCCATTATGGTAACCTAGAAAGTGTTTAATCTATGAACATAATATAGGTAGTAGTAGTCTTATTTTTTCAAATGGAAAGGCATAGGTATCATACCATGCAGCCTTATCTTTTATATATTTTTTTTATTTTATGAAATATGATACTGAAATGAAATGAGATGAGATGACATAATGTGAGATATTTTTATGGAAAATGATAATATGAAGTGAAATGAAATGAAGATGATTAATTTGAGGTATTAATCAACTGGGATGGGATGAAATGAAATGAAATGTGATGAGATGATATGGGATGAAAGATAATCTCAGTAAAATGGTGGTCATTTACTGAGATTTTTTCAGTGGACTTTTTGGAGGATCCCGAAAAGTTACGTCTGGCGGCTTTGTTTCATTTTCCTATATTTGTTGCACTGTCACAGATATTAAACAGTTAATAAACCACCGTTATTACACATTTAAATCTGAAGAAACACTAAATAGACAAAATAAAACAAATCACACAAGTTCACTCCTCGCGTTCCCGCCAAAAAGTCACTTAGTGTAAACTAGTGGTGAAGCCATAGATAATACCTACACTACTTTGAAATTCGTGAGTAGTGATTCGTTCCGATGAACTTAGATGAGTAGAGATTGTAAGTTTCGTTATAAGGGGAGAAAAAAAAGAAACATAATGCAGAGGACAACAAGACGCCGGAGGGACCTTGCCGCCGGGCGTCATCCCGTGGACTACTCAAGCCCTCGTATTAAGTTTAAGTTTAGATGTAGGATGGCGGAATAACGAGAAATGGATCTCACCTTATTTATTTTTTATTTTTTACACAAAGAAACAACAACATATCACTTTTACATCTTACCACCACCACACACACTAATCTTTTTTTTCTGACTACCTCCTGACTTTGACAGCCCATCCACAAATTGGGGTTGTCAGATTTAAATAAAATTAAATTCTAAAAAATACTCCACACGGCCGTCCTGGTTAATCATCTGACCCAGATGAATAATTTTCTACCGACGTGACCCATGGTTTCATGAAATCAGCAGAAGAAGTGGTGTTGATTGGACCTTCTGTATTTCCAACTTTCTTCACAACATATCGGTCATTTCCTTTGTTTTTTAAGACTTCATAAGGTCCTAGATACTTAGGAAATAATTTACTGCCTTGAGAGAACTGCGTTTTCTTGATTGCTACTAAATCGCCAACTTTGTAAGACATCGCTTCTTTTCTCTTTCTGTTATAATTTTTTATGTTTTCTTCTTGTATCTTCAGCAGCGATTCTTTAGCTTTTTCTCTCAGCTCTTGTCTTTTTTCTTTAAACATTTGTATATCTTCTTCCTCAATTAACTTCTTAAGTTCATCATCGTCTTTATCTTTTATTTTAGTGCCAAAGAGTAATTCAAATGGCGTCATTCCTATGCTTCTTTGGTAGGTACCATTCAGACAGCGTTGTACTATAGACACACGGCGGTACCATTTGGTCGGATCATCAGCGCTGAGCTTGCTTAACACGGCAATGATAATCTGATGAATCCTTTCGACCTGGCCATTTCCTCTGGGTTGTCCTGTAGTAATCATATAGTGTGTAATATTTTCATTACGGCAGTACTCTTGAAATTCATTTGCAGTAAATGCGGCGTTTCGATCAGTAATAATCCTTTCTGGTGATCCGAAAGTTTGCTGTTGCAGTCTTAACTTTTCTACCGTCTCTAGAGCGGTAAGAGTCTTAACAGGGTAAATCCAGGTAAATTTGGTATAAGCGTCAACAACGGTGAGGATATACTTGTAATTTTTATGAGTAGATGTCAAAGGTCCGAGATGATCAATGTGGTATGTTGATAATGGAACATTGCCTTTGTCTATCGGGTGTAANCTTTAGTTTGTCTATTTGGTCTTCGATCAGTGGTAATGGGAACCGGTCTTTTATTATCTTCTTATTCAGTCTTCGGTAGTCTACGCATAGTCGGTAAGTTCCATCTTTCTTATTAGCTAGTACCACAGGGCTTGCGTAGTCAGATTTGCTTGGTTGTATTATCTCTTGTTCTATCCATTCTTTTATCTGTTCATTAACCGTCTTCATTTCCAGGGGTGAAAGTCGTCGCGGATTTTGATGTATTGGTTCGTCGTCGGTAAGTATAATCTTCATTTCAACGTTACTTTCTCTCTTTACTTTGTTAGGTTTATATTCTTCTACTATTTTTCTAATTTTGTCTGAATTTTCTGATTTAATTGTATCATTTTCATTGTAGATATTTTTCTCTTCAGTTAATAGCGTGAGATATACAATTTTTTCAACAAAAATCCCATTCGCAGTAAAATTAACTTCAAATTCTCTCAATATAGGGTTTCCCAAAATCACATTTACAGGTATGTCATTATCTTGGACAATGTAGAATGTTATATCAGCGTAACAATCATCTATTTGTATTCTTGCATTAAAGACTCCTTTTGTGTATATCTCCTTTTCAGCTATACCTGTCAAGCATATCTTAGAGTTATTTTGATTATTCAGTGCGTCTTTCGTAATCCTTTCAGCTTCAGTCATCCTAATCAAATTAACATCGCTTCCTGTGTCTATTAGCGCTATCATTTCTGTTTCATTAATCTTTATCTTTTTGTAGGGAACTTTCTCTTCTTCACTTTTATTTAGAATGTTCAGAGTCTTCTTGATTTTATTACTTGTACAGTCTGTAGATTTGTGGCCAAATTCGTTACATTTAAAACATTTGATTCCTTTTGGACAGGCAGGTGCTTGATGGTCCAAGTCGCCACAGTTGAAACACCTTTTCACATGAGTCTTCTTATGGGTTATGTGACTTGCAGACGACTGGCCAGAATGAGAAGGTCTAGCAGACATCTTCTTTCTAAATTCACTATAGATGTCCAACTTCTTTCGAAATTCTTTTATGTCTGCTGCACCGTACAGAATTGCTTTATTGGCTTCAATGTCACGAATTCCATCTATGACATATTCTATTAGCGCAGCGTCCTCAACTTTACCATGTAGGGCTAGCTCTTTCATCGACAAGAAGTATTGTTGATATGTCTCGTCATTCTTCATTTTACGCGAAGCAAGTTTTTTGTGTACAACTGCGCTGTTAATTTTGGGACCGAACTCTTCTTTAAGAGCATTCTTCAAGGTTGCGTAGTCTTTTATCCTTCCCATAGATCGTAAGAAAAGCTTGGCAGTTCCATCTAAGAGTCTTTTTGCGTAAATCAATTTTTCGACTTTAGTCCAATTCATGATCTGTGCTACGTCTTCGAATTCGTCAAGAAATGTCTCAATCGGGTAGGTGTCATCTCCGGTAAATATGTTCATCGACTTCTCCAAGTCTTTGAATGAAATATGTACGTCTACTTCCTGTTCCTCACCTTCAGCGTCTTGTAAGTCTTTTTTCGGCGGCATCGTGATGCTTGTATTAATCTTAAGACTTCTTTAGGGATCTACTTCTAATCTTAGGGCAAAACGATGGTCTTCCTGGACTTATTAAAGTTTTATTATATCTTCAACATCAGAAAATGGACGAAAATTATCACATCAACACATCATCAAAAACTATAATTTCCGTATTTTTTTGTAATATGGCAACATTTTTCACCAGTGTGTCGGTAAAACAATTCTTCACCTAAAGTTATCAACTTTGAATGATTCAACGTTTTTCGTCTTCAGTCTTCGATCCACTTCAAATTAATATTTTAGCCAATCCCGGACGAGCCCCCAAAAGATGTAGGATGGCGGAATAACGAGAAATGGATCTCACCTTATTTATTTTTTATTTTTTACACAAAGAAACAACAACATATCACTTTTACATCTTACCACCACCACACACACTAATCTTTTTTTTCTGACTACCTCCTGACTTTGACAGCCCATCCACAAATTGGGGTTGTCAGATTTAAATAAAATTAAATTCTAAAAAATACTCCACATATATGTCGATGGAGTGCGCCGAACACGCATACGAACCCCCCTCTCAGTCCTCCCTGCATCATTTCACCCCTGCTTTTCATGGCAGGGAGCTTCTGCCCGGGCAGTGAGTGGGATTCGCTCCGAGGCCTGTTTCGTGCCCCCGTAAGGGGGTGCGACGACCCTTTCTTGCTTACGCGTCAGCCGTTCGAGAACTGTCACTGAGCATATAAGCATTCTTTGACCCCATCCCTATTCTTCAAACTCTCTAACAGAATTTATGCCAATTTTATATTACTTATTGCACGTTTATTGCTTAGCATTTGAAATGACCGACGAACATTTGATTGAGTTGGTAAAAGGATATCCTGTTATATATGACATGAATTTATCTATATACAGAGATCATACAATAAGAAATAATGTATGGGGAGAAATTCGTCGTCGTTTAAGTATCATTTATGTATCCAAAATTTGCATCAAATCTTCTTCAAAGCCTTCATCTGACTCATTATTTATTAAATCCATAGAACATAACCATACAATTCCACTGCTGCTAGCTAACTGTTTTCAGAAATTGCTAGTATTTCGTGGTGTCGCGTGTTGGTATTGTACACAGTGCTTACGAGGGCTGCACTAAAAGTATCGGGAATGGAATATTTCCACTGTTCCTGTCATATTAAAATCTTTTTAATTGAAAACTCCTTGGTTTTAAGAATCGAATACCATTTATTTATTTAAAAAAAGATTCTCGGTCTTGTCACGAGGTTTTGTCAAACTTGTTTAGTCGTTGAGAAAATGGAATTGACTCGAGAAAATTCAAGAGCGATGATTTATTATGACTTTCGAAGTGGTTTAACACAAAAACAGTGTGTTGACCGGATGATTTCTGCATTTGGTGATGAAGCCCCATCCAAAACCACAATTTATCGCTGGTTTGCTGAGTTTCAACGTGGACGTGTCAAGCTCAGTGATGATCCCCGTCAAGGTCGTCCAAAAACTGCAGTCACCCAAGAAAACGTTGATGCTGTGCGTAAGCTGATTGAGGAAGATCGACATGTGACATACCGCGAAATTCAGGCAACTTTAGACATTGGCATGAGTCAAATACAAATAATCTTGCATGAACAATTAGGTGTAAAAAAGTTGTTTTCCCGATGGATACCGCATTCGCTCTGTGAAGAGCAAAAAGCGGCTCGCGTTACTTGGTGCGTCAGAACTCTCGAAAGATTCCACGCAGGATCCTCAAATGCTGTATACAACATTGTATCAGGTGACGAATCCTGGATATACGCGTACGAACCCGAAACAAAAAACCAGTCACGAGTTTGGGTGTTCGAAAATGAGTTAAAGCCAACAAAAATTGTTCGTTCACGGAGTGTTGCAAAAAAAATGGTGGCCACGTTTGTCTCCAAAACCGGCCATGTTACGACTATTCCTCTTGAGGGACAAAGAACGGTTAATGCAGAATGGTATGCTAGCATTTGTTTGCCACAGGTCGTTTCTGAACTCCGTAAAGAGAACTGCAACCGCCGCATCATCCTCCATCACGACAATGCGAGTTCTCACACCGCGCACACAACAAAAGAGTTTTTAGAGCAAGAAAACATAGAATTATTAGACCATCCGCCGTAAAGCCCCGACCTAAGCCCTAATGATTTCTATACTTTTCCTAAAATAAAGAATAAATTGCGTGGACAGAGATTTTCATCACCTGAAGAAGCTGTGGACGCCTACAAAACGGCCATTTTGGAGACCGCAACTTGATGGTTGGATTCCGAATGGAATGGTTGCTTCAATGATTGGTTCCATCGTATGGAAAAATGTGTCAAATTTCGCGGAGAATACTTCGAAAACCAATAAATACATTTTTAAATAGTAATGTTGTGTCACTTCGTTAATTCCCGAAATTTTCAGTGCCGCCCTCGTATTGTTGTTTTATTTCGTCCCACATTTTTTTTGGCATGCCTATATTTATGATGTGGATGTTTTGACATCCATATTTCTGGTCTACTCAGTATTTCACTAATGAATAGTTCCACATCCATTATATTTTATTAGTTCAACGCGCGGTAAAAACAAAATGATTTGTTTCGGTCGCGCGATGCCTCAGTGCGTTCACCGACACAGCCGCGCTCGCCGCTCTGAACTGTGGCCGCCTCAATATTGGCTAGTACATTTGTTTCAGTCGCACATCGCGCAGCTCGTCGCCGCCGAATGTCGCCTCTTGCCGCGCCGCAAGTCGCGTCGCCGGTAGCTGTGGCATACTTCATAGGGTGTCTACCATTTGTTTTCGCCGCTCCCGCTTGCCGCGCCTCACGACGCCCCGCAATTCGCACCGCTTTTGGCTGTGGCCAGGGGGTAAGTCTTAGTTCTATAGTACAACGACTGCCGCAACTCGAACCGGAGCGCATTAATGCTTCACGGCAGAAATTTACGGGTTGGTGGCCCTGCGAGGCTCTCAAGGCCATACCACCAGTGTAAGTAAACCAAACCATTCTTGTTTTTTCTAATAGTTTGAATTTTGCGTCATGTATCATTATATTGTAGTCCATACCCAAAGCACTGGAGAATCTCTACATATAACGTAAATGCGCCACCCACCTTGACGTATAAGTTCTAAGGTCTCAGTATAGCTACAACGGCTGCCGAAACGCATTACTGCCTCACGGCATAAATAGGCAGGGCGGTGGTACCCACCCGTGCGGACTCATAAGAAGTCCTACCGCCAGTAAGATTAAGTATTGTCATTAAGTTAAGTATTAATTAAGTATTGTCATGCATATTCAGAGTTGCTTTGTGAACTTTCAACGTTCTATACACTGCAAAAAATGGAAGATTTTGCAACGAATTTAAAACTAACATTGATCGCCGAAAGATTTTCCTGGTTTTTTCCCCATTCACCTCTCAATCTCTAATGACATCCACCCCGTTTTACGGAATTTCATTAGAAAAATTGTTAAGTACCCCCCTGGGATTCGAACACCGATGCATTGCTCAATACGAATGCAGCGGACGTCTTATCCTTTAGGTTACGACGACTTAATGTCTTTAAACGCCAAAGAAAAAATATTTCGGAGCTCAGTTTTTCCACTGTTTTTGTAATAGTAGGCTACGCTTTCTCTCTAGTGCTTAAAACCATATTCGGTAAACATGTTATTCATTTGTCCTTCACTATCACACCACTAGTAATTTAAAATTGAAAATATTGGGACTTTTTCGCCGGAACGCGAGGACTGAAGTTGTGTGATTTGTTTTATTTTGTCTAATTAGTATTTCTTCAGGTTTAAAATATGTAATGACGGTGGTTTATTAACTGTTTAGTATCTGTGAAAGTGCACAAATGTGGGAAAATGAAACAAAGCCGCTGAACGTAACTTCTCGGGATCTTCCAAAAAGTCCACTGAAAAAGTTTCAGTAAATGACCACCATTTTACTGAGATTATACTTCATCCCATATCATCTCATCTCATTTCATTTCATTTCATGCCATGTTTCATAAAAATCAACTTCATTAAATTCCTTTCCATCATTTTCATATAAAAAAGTTACGTATCATTAAAATTAAAATAAGACTTGACCTAAGGGTCTTAGTTACCAGGTCATAAAATCTTTTTTTAAATATATGAAAATATTGGAAAATAATCGCCAAAAGTGTATAGTCTATGATCGTCAACATAGATTATACACATAAATATTATCGCCAAATTTCGTTTCAAATACTAATATCATGTTGTGGAACGCTATAAGAAAGTTAAGAAATAAGGCCTTAAAATGTGAGCCTTTTAATTTCTTAGAATAAAAAGTGTATTCTTAAATGAAATAAATTATTTTATAATTTTACAGTGAATAATGCAAGGATATGTTTAAGTCATTATTACTCACAACAGTCACCGATCGAAAAAGAAAATGAAAGTGTAAAAAAACCTGAGTCAAAACGATTATCTGAGTTTAGAAAAAAATTGAGAGAAACTACATCAATCACTGATCTTGGTGAACAAACTTCAAATTCCAAGGAAGATGCTTTGCCTCCTTGGCCCAACAATACTAACCCCAACACTGGTGAAGTTGGTGGTCCCAAAGGGCCTGAACCAACCAGATATGGTGATTGGGAAAGAAAAGGAAGAGTATCTGATTTCTAAATTCAAAATTATGCTTTGTGCTTGCTATTATCCCTAAGTTGTTGAGTTACACAGAAACTTAACATAGTTATAAAAGTTAGATTAACTTTGGTTCCATTTCTTTCTTTCATTGTGTAATAGAGTAGAAAATATTGTATAATACAAAAATAACCTGTTGAGAAGGTTCTCAATTATATGTTTTTTTTTAATATATAAAGTTAGAATTTATTTTAATTAAATTTACCATGCTCCTAAATGTATGATGTTTATGGTTGATTTTGTATTAAATAATTAGATTTTATTTTTAATTACAATTTTGTATAGTTGATAGGTTGTTTTTGAGGGATTGGACAGATAAAATGCAAGAATTTCAAACATACTTTACACCATTGAAGTTTCTTTGTTGAGTCATTTGTCAACATGAACTATTTCTTTTAGTACTACCTACTAGTACTACCTGCTTGTGAGATTTGAGCCTTGGCATGTAGTTGGTTTTCCTGTCCATTGAACCACAATACATTTTTCTTGAGTTGAGCAACAACATTTTTACATTAAAATTTTACCTTGAATATTGAAGGACTCCCAAGAGGTCCTACCACCAGTAACTATGCAAATTATATAATAATTTTGTGGGTTTCATTTTTATTACACGATATTATTCCTTCACTGTGGAAGTCAATCATGAGCATTTGTGGATTACGTATTTCATTAGAAAAATTGACGCCCGCCGACCCGCCTGAGATTCGCATCGTTCACCACGAATGCACCGGACGCCATATCCGTTAGGCCACGACTTCAAAATTTTCACGATTCGAATCACGATCGACTAAAAAGATTCAGCAGCCACTTCCAGCTTGTTTGTTTTTTGCCACAAAATTGCTAAATTTGAATGTCAAACGAAATTTATCTAATGCAGCGATAGTTATCATAAAATAGAAAAAATGTGATAAAACCTGCATAGTGTAACTTTTAATGGTGTGTAAGCTGTTATATTATGAAAAACATTTGGACTGCTGTCGCTGTCCAAAGTATAATGGGAGATATTGATGGAAGACCTGTGTGACATTCCTCATGTTGTGACCCTTTCATAAGGAATAAAAAATCGATTATTCCATGAAATTATTTATTTGTTTCCATTAAGTATAAAACCCGGTCGTCGATCAATAACATTTTTTAAAATAAACTGAATCAAGTTGTTTTTAATGAAGTATGATTTTTTTTCTTCCTTCACGTTTAAAAGTACATACATAGATTAGCAGCAAGTTAATATCTGTAATGATCTGGCTTGTAAGGTCCTTCTCGAGAGACACCAATGTATTTGGCTTGTTTAGGTGTTAACTTCGTCAGTTTTACACCAAGGTGATCCAAATGCAAGGCAGCTACTTCCTCGTCAAGTTTCTTAGGTAGTGTGTGGACACCTATTGGATATGTGTCTGCTTTGGTCCACAGCTCTATCTGAGCTAGGACTTGATTTGTAAATGAATTAGACATTACAAAAGAGGAATGGCCGGTTGCGCAACCTAAATTAACCAGTCTTCCTGCAGCAAGAACAATAATATGGTTACCATTTTCTAATTCATAACGATCAACATGTTGTTTGATGTTAACTTTTTTTGCGTTGTTATCTAGCCATGCAACATCAATTTCGCAATCAAAGTGACCAATGTTGCACACAATTGCATCGTCCTTCATTCTAAGAAGATGTTCTTTGCATATAATGTCAATATTTCCCGTCGTGGTGACAAAGATTTGACCCACTTCAGCGGCTTCCTCCATAGTAGTCACTTGAAAACCTTCCATTGCGGCCTGAAGTGCGTTGATGGGATCGATTTCGGTAACGATCACTCTACCGCCAAAACCTTTGAACGCTTGGGCGCATCCTTTTCCTACGTCACCATAACCTGCCACTACACAAACTTTCCCGGCAATCATTATGTCTGTTGCCCTTTTGATTCCGTCGAGCAAAGACTCCCTACATCCATACAAGTTGTCGAATTTGCTTTTTGTTACTGAATCGTTAACGTTGATTGCAGGAACTTTTAAAAGTCCTTCTCGGAACATTTTGTACAAATTATGTACCCCGGTTGTAGTTTCTTCAGTGATACCTTTTACGTCTTTTAAAAGATCGGGGTACTTAGTGTGGACTAAGTTTGTTAAGTCACCCCCATCATCCAAGATCATATTGAGAGGCTGGAACAAAAATTGATATTAAATAAATGACTATTATTTCGCAGAAAGATATCTTGAGATCAGTTTAGATTTTAGGGATATCCGGAATGAAACAGCAGGGCAAACCATAATATAAATATTACACCTTTGGCCCTTTAATGTCGAGTGTCGATTATGACTGAGTGCTTTTCCTATGTTATTTGTTACAAAAACGAAACACTGGTCTAAGGATAATACTCGCAAAAATCGCTTGAGTAACACTCGTCGTCAGTATGGTTAAAAACAGACCCGACGTAGCACACTTTAAATCGCAGGCCTATCATAAAATATATTATCAGGGTCGGAAAGGGTCAACATCAGCGGTCCGTACTGGAGATATGATCGGGGACTGGGTCGCGACGGATGATGCCTCTCTTTCCAGCGAGTGAAAGTGCTGATCCAGCATATCTGTTCCCTGATGTACATTCGATTGCATTCTAGAGCCGTTAATGGGGTGGATATAGACGCGAACGAGCGGGCATCACTAAAACTACGCTAAAGAGCGCGAAGTGTGACACACGATTCAGTAATTAAAGCACGTTTAGATTAGAGAACAGTAGTAGAGAACAATAGAGGAATACGTAACGATATTCTTTGAACCCTTGTATGTATTTTGATTGTGGAAATCGCCACTAAAGGTAAATGTTGTCCTGAACCTTGTATAAAATCAAATTGCACAATATCCTGGTTCACCAAAACCTTCCATTAATATTAGTTTATATTGTTGATCTCAAATTTATAGGGGTGTTATATCTAATTAATAGCATTATTGTGGACTTTTTTCCTAAACTAGCATAAATTATTACCTTTCCATCAGGGAAGATCAATGTTTGTTCAATACACCAAATATACTCGTCATCAGTTTCTCCCTTCCAGGCATAGATGGGTATTCCTACGGCAACCAGTGCAGCTGCGGCCTCGTCTTGTGTACTATAAATGTTACTGCTGGACCATTGTACCTAAAATAATAGATATTTCTCGTAATTCAATAAAAAAAAAACAATATTTTCATTTATTAATAGTTTTAAAATTACAATGTATATATGTATTACATAAATCTAAAAATTATGACAATTTTGCGTCACATAATAACAGTATTTACAGCTACCATAAAAAACAGTAACGCGCAATTCCACCCAACCTTCTTCTAAGCACTTATACATTACGCACTTATTAAGTAAGCACTTAAACAAGGCATTTTTAGAATTAAAGAGACCCAATTCGATTTGTTTTGGATTTCGACTTTAATTCCAAAATGAACCAAGAACGACTCTTTTCAAAAAAAGTAGCCTAAGTTACTCCTTATATCATCAGCTACCTATCAGTGAAAGTCCCGTCAAAATCGGTCCAGCCGTTCCAGAGATTAGCCGGAACAAACAGACAGACAGACAAAACTTGTAAAAAATGTTATTTTGGTGAATGTACCGTATATATATTCATATGCATGTAGTAAAAAGAATCATCTCGAACAATTCCTCAGAGCACTCCCCATGGAACATACGGTACAGAATACAGAGGGAACCGAAGTCCCTCCGCAGACCCAGAGGTTCCAAACGATCCGTGAGAATGGGATTATCGACAATCCGAACGGCCCTCCTCTGTATGGAGTCAAATGGAAGAAGCTGGTATTTGGGAGCCCCGGCCCAGAGATGGGAGCAGTACTCCAAGCGAGGCCGGACTTGTGCTTTATAAAGCAAAAGCCTTTGTCCAGGCGTGAAGTACCGCTTCGCTCTGTTGAGGACTCCCAGCATTTTGACGCCAACTTGGCTTTGCCTTCCAAATGACTCCTTAGACATAAGAACTTTGTTTTTATAAAAAATATTGTTCATGATTCAATATATTTACTTATAGTTATTTAGATGAACGCAGAGTTCAGTTACTTGATAAATAATCAATATCTGAACAAATTTTATTATTGTATAAATGGACTGTTTTTAATAGAACGAAATGTGTATCTTATCATTTTTTTTGCGTTATTTCACTACTGGGGTTTTTTTTTTTTCATTTAAATTTGAATACTGACCGAAAATGTTTACATTAGTTTTGTAAAAGAAACCTACGTGTTATCATAAAATAAAGAGAATGAAAATTAAGGACACATAGGAGTTTTGAATTTGAACTGATTTTGTTCAAGAATGGATGCAAAAAGAATACAGAATCGTGGATTTTGCCTTACGCGCCAGCTTCACTTTGCAATAGAAGAAAAAGCGTCGTCGTACTCGGGGGCAAGCCGGGGCGGGTTTCGGGGCAAACCCATCTGCCCGGGAATGAACTCCCCGCCTTCAGGGCAGGGGTGAGGTCTGTCCGTAGCGTGCTGGGCACACTCATAACGACATATGTATTACATATATATATAACTAGCGACCCGCCCTCGCTTCGCTTCGGAAACTGTAATTTATTATTGATTTCTCCCCTATTTAATGGATGTTATTATACATATAAACATTCTTCAATCACTCTATCTATTAAAAACTGTATCAAAATCCGTTGCGTAGTTTTAAAGATTTAAGCATACATAGGGACAGACAGATATAGGGACAGAGAAAGCGACTTTGTTTTATACTATGTAGTGATAAGATGGCTTGTTTACGGCCGGCAGCGGGCTCCTTCCTATCTATAACTACTTACAACTAACTGTATATTATATACAAAGCAAACAACAGTCAGCAAAAACGAACGCTGGATAGGGGGAAGACCGAGGCGGGGAGGGACCGACCAAAAAACACTCCCCTGACGGGGGAGTGGTCAACCCATGAGGGTGGGGGTGGCCCACATTGGGGGTAAGGGGGCGCCCCAACAATGTGGGGGAATAACGAGTGTGGACAGTTCAGTCCCATGGGGGCACTCGTTATGAGCACTCCCATATCAGTCCGGTTAAGCAGACTATCTTGCCATAGTAGAGGGTTCCAGTAACTCCCTTGGTAGTGCCCGACCATCAGGTGGTCTGGCGTGCAAAGGAGCTATATTGTGGAGATGCTGGTGGGATCCACCATCAGCCCGCTCGTAAAGACTAGGAGCAAGATCCCGGGCTATTACGTCATTTCTGACTCAACTCCGGTCGATATTAACCCCCAGGTACCGGACGCTGGATCCAAACTCGACATTGACGCCACGGAAACTGAGCTGTCCCGGGACAACTCTTGTACGGACCGGACCGAAGAGGATTGCCACGGTCTTCCCCACGTTGATCGCGATTCTTCATCGGTCCAGCCACTGGGGCAGTAAGTCCAATTACTTCTACATCCTCGAGATGGTCGCAGAGGGGAAGTTGGATGATGCGAAGTAAGCGCTGTCGTCGGCAAACAGCGCCAACTTCACGTCTGCTTCCCACGCTCGAGGGCAGCGTCAATGTCGTTGGTACAGAGGGTAGAGTGGTGCCAGAACGCTTCCCTGAGGAACCCCGGCCGTGACTGGGCGCACCGACAACTTGACGCCCTCGATCGCGACAAGGAAGGATCTTCCCTTCAGGTATGACCCCAGCAATCGTACGTAGACGATTATATGTATTTATTACATTAGTTAGTAGTTAAATATAATATAATAATATATATAGTGAGATCTGTTCTTCTAAAGTTAAAGTGTCAATATAAATTGTAATTGAATGATACTTTTCTCATAAGTTACTACTAAACATGAGGTAAATGTATTGTTAGCAAAATAACCCCATTAGCATTACAAAGTAACTAAAGTAACAGATAGCACAAAATAATTCCATCTTTTGAGAACGTAAATGCTTACAGTATGCATGTATAATAAACAACCAGCACCGATCAAAGGTTACTGTCGTAGATAAGAATGAATAAATACAGAAAGATCGGTTAGGTTTTGTTTACTTTTTATGACCCAATATTAGCAGACGCCTTTATAGCCTACCTATGTTAGGTTATTGAAGCCCATAGCTCACAATACTATGAATACCTCATGTAAATTTGCATCTTTAAATATGCCGTATGATTGCTTCGTAGTAGAAATATGTAGGATGATGGTACCCACCCATGCGCGCTTGCAAAATACTCTACCAACAGTCATGTCGAAGAACGTTCAGACTTCACGTACGATTCCGTAGTCTTAAAAAACGGTCCCAGTAAAAGTATACATTACACTTAAAATATTTTGATCATTTCAAGACAATGTGTTCCATATCTTAGTTTATTAATATGTAAATTATCATCATCGGATGAAGCTTTTTAATGAAGTTAGCGTCAGTTTACTGGCGATAAACGCTACACAAAGAAATCCAATTATGGTTCTTCCATTTGAGTTCCCTTTCACTTTCAATATCTGTGTCTATTTCTTTAAGTTTTGTATCACTTATATGGGTGGACGAGCTCACGGCCAGCCTGGTGTTAAGTAGTTACCAGAACACATAGATACCCACAACTTAAATGCCGCTACTCACCATGAGACATTACAAGCAAATTATAATTTTTGATTTACTACACGATGTTATTCCTTGATCATTAAAATCATTTGTAAGCATGTGTTAACTATGTATTTCATTGGAACATTTGATAGCTTGCAGGGTTTCGAACACTGGCACAAGCGCATTGCTCGATACAAATGTATTTCATCATCATCATCATCAGCCTGTATCTCTCCACTGCTAGATGTAGGCCCCTCCCATAGTCCGCCACAATGAACGGTTCTTTGCCTTCCGCACCCAATCTTTCCCAGCATATCGCCGAAAGTCATCGGTTCAACGGGCAAGGGGACGCCCATGCTGCGCTTACCGGTACGTGGTCTCCAGTCCAGAACACGTCTGCTCCATCGGCCATTGGTTCTGCGACACGTACGTCCGGCCCATAGCCATTTCAGCTTGCTAATCTTTAGGGCTAAGACGGTTAATTTGGTTCTTTGACGGATTTCTTAATTTCTGACTCGATCCATCAAAGAAACTCCGAGCATACACTTTTCCATATCACGCTGAGCGACTTTGAACTGACGGACCAGACCTACGGTCAATGTCCACGTTTCAGAAGACTTTTTTCTTTAGGCATTGCGGGATTGCTGAGTTCAAGATATGACGGAGTTTTCCATACGCAGCCCATCCCAACTGTATGCGCCTATCAGCTTCCTTCTCAAAGTTGGCCCTGCCTAGCTGAACAATTTGGCCTAGATAGGTGTATTCAGACATAGCTTCGAGTACCGCAGATTGGACTATTACCGGTCCAGGAATTATATGGTCGCTGAACATGACCTTAGTTTTGCCCAGATTCATAACCAGACCAACACGTCGTGACGCGACATTGAGCTCACCCAGCATACAGCTGAGATCCTCCAGCGACTCTGCCATTCGGAGGTCTGCAAATCGGAGGTGTGAGAGATACTCGCCATTGATCGCAGCGCAGCTTACTCCAGTCCAGAGTCTTGAAGACATCCTCGAGAGCAGCAGTGAACAATTTTGGCGATATAACGTCACCCTGTCGCACCCCTCGGTGAAGCTTGGCGATATAACGTCACCCTGTCGCACCCCTCGGTGAAGCTCAATCGGGTTTGTCTGCTAGTTTTGGATCTGGACTGTCATTTTAGCGGCTTTATATAAACTCTTCCAACACCTCAACGTACCGATAATTGACTAGGCATCCCTGTAAGGATTCCAGAATAGCTCAAGTTTCGATGGAGTCGAAGGCTTTTTCGTAGTCCACAAACGCGAGACACAGAGGACGATTGTATTCTACAGTCTTCTGAATAACCTGTATCAGCGTGTGCATGTGGTCTACCATACTGTAGCCTTTGCGAAACCCAGCCTGCTCTGGAGGTTGGAACTCGTCAAGTCTATAGGCCGAGTATTTGTAAGGACTCTCGAGAACAGCTTATAAATATGGCTAAGAAGTGCAATAGGCCTGTAGTTCTTGAGCAGGGCACGGTCCCCCATCTTAAAGAAAAGAATGACAGTACCCTTGCTCTAGGCTTCCGGTGTAGTTGGTTTTTTTCAAATGTATTTAACATTATTTTTCTAACTGCATAGGTAAAAACTCTCTTTTAGTTATTGTTTCTTAAACCAGAAGTTGTACATTAAGAGTTTTCTTTTATGTGTTACCTACACTTCCTTAAGGAGATCCAATTATTATTATAAAGTAATCTGCAATATATATTTTATAATTTCATCAAGTTAATGAAATTGTGTAAGCACTAGATTAGATTATAATATTTATTTATATGATTATGAGACAGTAATAATTTTAATCTTAAATTTGGTTGCCTGACAGTTTTTATCATATAGATATATCACTGGTGTAATCAAATGTTAAAAGTGTTTTATGAGGAAATCAGATATGCTATCTAGTATTGGCACTTATCTAAGGCAACATTGATTGATTGAAGCTATGGTTTAAGTTGTCAAAGGATTGCATACTTAAAAGAAAAGGACAATCAATTCAGGTAATCACAGAGAGAACTCCCCCTAAAACATGGAAAAAATATAGAGAGCATAAGTCTATTTGTAGTCCCAAAATTTAAAAATGAACTGAAATGAAACCAAAGTTGTTGACTATCAAAACTGTCTTAGTTTTATATCTAGACCAATTGGAACTAGCAGAAACTTGGATGTAGCAGGCCAGAGATGGGAGCAGTACTCCATTCAAGCCAAAGCTCTAAGATCAATTGTAATAACAAAAAATATGTAACAACTATTATTACAAAATACATAAATTACAAAATGATGAATATGTTACATCATGAATAATTATTGATAAGCAAAGACTTCTATTTGTACTTGTTGATAAGTAAGGTTCATAATGATAAATGTCAACTACATGATTAATATGACGAAACCATCTTTATAGTATGATAAGGAATAAAAATAATTGATTTTTTCATTTGATTAACAAATGCCACATTTTTCTATGCATAATGTTTTTCATAAAGGATAAGACGTCCGGTGCATTCGTATCGAGTGATGCAACGGTGTTCGAACCATTTTTTCTAATGAAATACGTATTTAACAAGTGTTCACGATTGACTTCCATGGTGAAGGAATAACATAGTGTAATAAAAATCAAACCAAATCAATCAAATTACTGGTGGTAGGACCTCTTGTAAGTCCGCACAGGTAGGTACCACCATCCCGCCTATTTCTGCCGTGAAGCAGTAATGCGTTTCGGTTTGAAGGGTGGAGTAGCCGTTGTAACTATAGACTTATGACCTTAGAACTTATATCTCAAGGTTGGTGGTGCATTTACGTTGTAGATGTCTATGGGCTCCAGTAACCACTTCACACCAGGTGGGCTGTGAGCTCGTCTACCCATCTAAGCAATAAAAAAAAAACATTCGAACCTGCTTTTAGTCAAAGCTTGCGTTTGGTAACTTCGAAATAAAAAATTATGATTGAATGTTTGATTTCTCACCTCTGCTCCCAATTCTATTAAAGTCTCAATAAGAACCGCTGTTTGTACTGTCATGTGTAAGCTGCCGGCTATTCTGGCACCTTTGAGTATTTTAGCTGGAGCATATTTCCGACGACATGCCATAAGGCCTGGCATTTCTTTCTCTGCTAACATAATTTCTTTTCGGCCCCATTCAGCCAATTTCTCGTCAGCTAAAATGTATATATGGTAAACTTCAGGAAATCGAACCTTGCAAGAGTACTATATTATGCGACGAGTGCCTTCTTAAAAAAAAGACGTATTGTATATTTAAATACGTACAAATTCAATACATTTTTAACAAAAAATCTTATTTGCTATTCAAACTCAATGTTAGACATATTTTTCTACGTTGTTAAAATATTGGTTAATAATAAAATCACATGTAGGTACATATTCAAAGATAATTAAATTTTACTCTCGTGAAAGCAAATTTAGAATTATATTTAAATCAAACTTACCGATTTTGTAAGGAGGCTTCATTTTGTAGTACAGTTTGATATACCTACGGTAAATTCACTTGCTGTTTTCTTTTGAGGTTATTTTTATTATAATACCGGAAATAAATTGGGACTTGATATTGTAGAACGCGTTCGCGTGCACAGAACGCTGCGTATTTTAGAAGAGTAAGTTACAGATCAGCAATGTGGCGAGTAGACTTGTGTAACCTGTAAATGATTCATTCCAATGAACGGCTCCGAGTAGTCCGAGTCAAATAAATTCGTTCACCTACAAAATGTTTTAGGTTCGCAGTTAGCTCCGCTCCGATTGGGTACGGCTGGTGAACGAGTCATTATTTAGGGTTCAACAATATTATATTTCAATAAATTTTAGTTTAAATTGCTTAGATATCATAACATTACTTTTTGCATGGAAATATGTAAGTTAACATGTAAGGCCTAAATTGTGATGAAATGTTAATTTCAGTTATATATAATAACTTCAACTCTCAGCAATAACGATATATGGAATCAAAATTCTAGAGTGTGAACTCCATACAGTCAGTATGAATGATCCATAGAACGAAAGGAATTGCGGAATGATTTTGAGTTGGTGAGGCGGAAGGTGGAAAATGTTGGAGTTGAATCCACTATAGGAATCCCTTGTTAATTAACAACCCTTTCCCGAACCTAAAACAAGATCGAACAAAAGCGACACAGGTAACATTATGTCCCAAACGTATTTCTTCCCGCTATTACATTCATAGTGATATCACAGAGCAGAAAAGGCTTTTCATATTGATAAGATTGTTATCTTGATGCGACATAATTACAGCAGTGGACTTCTGTGGGCTGAGAGAATAGAATAGAAAAAAAAACGGATATGATTTCTATTGATTGATATTAACCAAGTTTGAGGGAACAACTGCGAAATTGAAGTTTAAAGCTCGTAATTATACGCACAACGATTTGAGAAGAAGTAAAACTGGAGCGTCAAGCTGTCAAGCGGCGTATGACTATTTCGAGGTCAGCCATGGATAGGCTGAAGAAAATATGGGAGAATCGAAATATAACCAAAGACACTAAAATTAGACTTATAAGAGCGCTGGTCTTCTCCATTTTTATTTATGCTGCTGAGACCTGGACATTAAGAGCAAGTGAGAAAAAGAGGATAGATGCTTTCAAAATCTGATGCTGGAGAAGAATTATACAAATATCATGGACGGAGTTCAAAACGAATCAGTCAATTCTACAGGAACTTGGCATCAAGCAGCGACTATCCTCCATCGTTCAGGGTCGCATTCTCACTTTCTTCGGGCATGTGTCGCGGCTGGGTGACGACTCAGTTGAGCGCCTTGTGGTGCAGAGCATGGTTGAGGGTACAAGACCGCGCACAGCAGATCACCGTTACGTTGGACCGACCAAACAATGGCAGCTCTAAACGGTCCCACTAACGAGTGAACAAGAAGGGCCACGGTACGCGAGGAATGGCGACGTCTGGTGAGGCGCACCACCACCCGAAGTGATGACCACGACCACTCTGCCAAGAGTATATACGACTGAGAAGAAGAAAACTGGACTATGACGTCTTGTGAGTCCGAATAGGTAGCGCTAGAAATAGGCGGGTGGGGGTACCTACCAGTAATGCGTTTCGGTTTGAAGGGGGACAGCCGTTGTATTATAAAAACTGAAACCTCAGAACTCATGTCTCGAGGTGGATGGCGGCATGTATGTTGTGGATGTCTATGGACTCCGGTAGCCATTAACACCAGGTGGGCCGTGAGTTCGTTTATCCATCTAAGTAGGTAATAAAAAAGTGCAAAAAACTGTGTAAGAAAATGAATTTGGGGGATTATAAGTGCGCAGTAATTAGTAGTAAGTATGGAATTCTTAATTGGATTACTATTAGGCTAGTAATTACTATCGTTCTATTATTAATTAGGCTAGAAATTATAGTATGGAATGTTACCCCATGATCTACCCAAGTGAAGTAAATGTCCATTCGAAACAAGGTAACACGCTCTTCTTTCTTTTTTTTCCTACCTAAACTGATGGTCTAGAGAGACCATTTCAGCGTAAACTTAACTTGTAGGTGAGCTCACGAGGCTGAAACCTGACGATGTTGCTAACACGAAACCTAGCAAGAGCCGTGCTTCGCAGAATCTACCACCGGATCGGAAACAAGACCCACTGAGAAGATCCGGCGAGAAACTCAGTGGGCTACGTTCCGTGCGGTGCGTCCGGCGCGGGTCAATGGGTAACACGCTTCAAAACTTACATGTACGTTCCATCGTGATCTATTAAGTGTAGTGTCTGCTTACGCGGCCCGCACACATATAAGCTCTCTGCAGGTTATCTAATTCAGTTTCTACAAAATAGCCGTTGGAGAACCGAGGTATATGAGGAATATCGACTTTCACGAGGACCCCCATTTAGAATTGAAGTATCTGAAGACAGTGTCAGATCGTTTCTTTGGAAAAGCGGCACGGCACGATAATACTCCTATCGTGCCCGCCTCTAACTATATATCTGACCCAGGCAATGGGCACATCCTATTTATGAACTTTTTCCTATGTAATCGTTGGTAGCCTACGGGCTACTCCAGGTACGCGCGAACGGGTAGGTGAGCTCACGGGCTCGATCTGAGAGAATTTGTTAACACTAGCCCTAGCAAGAGCAGTCCTTTGCAGAATCTACCTCTGGGACGGAATCGCGACCCACTGCGAAGATCCGGGGAGAACTCAGTGGGCTGTGTCTATGGGTTAGTTCGCTCGCTGAACTCTTCGTCGTAATTGACGAGGACGGTGACGGGGAAGTGATTCCGGGGCATCCGATTTTATCTATGCTGATAGCCTTGAGAGGCTAGTTCAGCTTCCCCTTGACGTGTAGTTGAGCTCACACTGGCGCTAGCAAGAGCAGTGCTTCGCAAAATCTATCACCAGATCGGAAACGCGACCCACTGAGAAGATCCGGCGAGAAAATCAGTGGGCTGTGTCTATGGGTTAATTCACTCGTCGAGCCCTTCGTCGCGAGCGACGAGTTCAACGGGGACGGTGACCGGTGCTTGTGATACCTAAAAGTACCGTTAATGGATCGGAAGGATCCGTAATGACGTGTTTAGGGCGACGTCGACTGTTTACCATTCGGTCCACAGGATCGGGTATGTAATTTCCGGCGTCCACGACAATCTATCCAGGCTATCCTGCAAAAACGGGATTGAATTTCTTGAAAGAAGTGTCAGATTAGTGCGGGCCGCGTGAGCGAACACTATACTTGCATAGGTCATGACCGGGCGTATGCAAGTTTTGTAGTGTCACCTTATTACGAAGCGACAATTTATTTCGCTTTCTTTCTCTCGTGTTTTATATAATATAGCCTTGGCAATTTCTTATTTTATATGCAAGATTTGGTTGACAATTAATAATGTTAATCTTAATTATGTCATTTGCCACTTTGATAATAATATCTTTAATAACATGCCATAACAATTTTCTAGGGAAACTAAGTAACTTAGAAAAGCAGTAAATCACCTCAATAGGCTAATTAGGATTCTGTTTTAACTCGATAAGAATTTTCCAATTCCTAGATTTAGAGTGCAATAATAAGACGGAGTATTGTTATCATTAATTAATACGGAAAGTTTAATAAAACAATGTGTATTTCTAAATGTTTTAATTACCATGGAACAGTTTACACGGGTAATATATAGATTAACTAAATTGAAAACGGAAACATACGGCACAACGAAATTTATTTAATTTGATACCGCATGAGAAAAGTGGGTGGTATTCATCGACTTAATGCCAATGATTCTAATTCAGAACCTTTCATGGCATGGCACTAGTCCTCACACAATCTCCTATCATACTCAGATACAAGTTTATTAAAATCAAACATTTACATTTTCTGAGCTTGGTCTTGTGATATGCTATACTTCAAGTAGAAAGTAGATTACGCACAACCGCACGTTCTTTGTAATCCTCAACAATTTTACATCTCATAAAAACTTGCATTAATCACGCAAACATCGTTCCTGTCAGTGATGCTCACAGACTAGCAGACACTCAGACATTAAATTATAGGTAAAAAAATATATGAAACTCTAACATTTCTTTTAACCACCATGTCCATATTATTTATCTTTATTGTTATTCGTTTTTATACAGATGGATCATGAAAATCGGTGATGTGTACCAAATGGAAATCAGTGTAAGCGACGTCGAAAATAGATCACCTATTAAAATTAAGATATTAACAAAAATAGGCCAGGAAGCATTCAGAATTCCATGCGAACACACGGTTAGCACCGAACGCGGTGTTAACGATTTATATTAAGGGTCACTATTAATTAAAATACAGAGTATTGTCTGTTGACTTAAAATTTAATATACGCTGAGTTACTTCGGCATCAGAAATGACTACAAAGATTTTTAATTTAGAAAAAATAATTATATTTATAAGGTACGTCACCTGAGCTGAGATTCCAATTTTTTTGTCACGATTTTACAATTTTTAAAATAGGCCTGCCGATTTTCAATTATTCTATTTCATATCAAAGGAAATCCGTTAATTACATAATATGTACATTTTTTTTTAATTCGAGATCGGAAGGAAATAAGTTCTCATTCACCACAAGCCCCGGTCAAACTATCGTTTAACGTTTTAAAGTATATTTTTTTAAATGTGGTAAATAATGTCTATAATTTCAATGATGTCAAAACTTTAATAAAATTTAGATCTAAATGTTATAATTGAATATGGATTGTTAATGATTAACGTTTTACTATACTTTATTAAAACAATAAATAGGTATTTACTATTTGTCGCTCACAACGAAAAATGAAGTAATTACCAATAGTAATAAAATTGAAGTCTTTTTTTTTTTTTTTACTTTACCATTTATTCCACACAGACCATAAAAAATTAAACCATTTAAATAGGATGTACTTAAGGCGAGTCTAGCTTAAAATTCTTTACTCCGCAATTAATGTGGGGAATTTCTAACACAGTATTTGCAGCTAAAATATTTTTCAATTTCTAACATATTTGAGCGTTTTTAATAATATAGATTCGTAATAAAACAGTAAGACCTAAAAGTTAAAGTTGTATAAAAATCATTCAGTACTAATGGTCCATCCAACGCTGCTGCTCTCAGATATTTTGTGGTGAATGATAAGTTATCACAACCAATAAGGCGTCCTTCTGTCTCTAACAATGTCGAGAGAACCTTAAACATATTTTATTACACCAAATTTTTATTTCGCATACCACACGTCGTCTATGCTACCAACATCAACGACGGACAACCTCATACATTCCTCCTTTCATACATCTTACAAAACATATTAATAATTTATACAATTCACAATACCTTGCACATGTGCATGCCTAAAGTAACATACATCATCTTTCATACGTCAACTTCCAAAAGAACACTTTAACTCACATAAGTAAACATACCACAGCCACTGTCTGTATTTATAATACCGAATAGGAAAATGCTCTAACTTTCAAGATTATCATGGAAAGATATAGCCAGGCATACATAATTAGTTATGTGATATATGTAACGATAAGTGCATTTTTGTGTGAATACGTTATAGATACTATCAATTATTACTTAAATTTGTTTAAATATCTACGAAGTTTCGTTTTCATAAATTATTAGGACACAATAGTACTTAATAACTGCAATTTAACATTTAGCGCGTTTAACAATAAGAACATACTCTCTCATAAGACTAATATTTAACATGCTGACCGAAACGTACAAACTGACGATGTATGCACTTATCGATTTATTTACTAAATGGACTTTATAATTTGCCTGACTTCAAAAATTGATTTTACCAGCAGTATGTTGTTTCAAGCTGCGTTTCAATGCTGTGGTCGGTAATTCCAAATCTGTGAAAAACAATTGATTGAGACAAAAATATATTTATTAAATATATGTTTTTAAGGCTATGTGTCTGAAATCGTCGTGGCCTAAATGATAAGACCTCCGGTGCATTCGTATCTAGTGATGCACCGGATTCCGAATCTCTCAGGCAAGTACCAATTTTTGTAATGAAATAAGTACTTAACAAATGTTGAGATTGTCTTCCACGGTGAAGAAATAGCATCGTGTAGTAAAAAGAAAACTCGCAAAATTATAATTTGCGTCATTACTGGTAGTAGAACGTCTTATGAGTCCTCACGGGTAGGTATCACCACCCCGCCTATGTGAAGCAGTAATGCGTTTCGGTCTGAAGGGTGGGGCAGCTGTTGATACTATATACCTTATACTGAGACCTTAGAACTTGTATCTCAAGATGGGTGGCGCATTAACGTCGTAGATGTCTATGGGCTCCAGTAACCAATTAACACCAGAGGGGCTATGAGCTCGTCCACCCATCTAAGCAACATAAAAAAAAGAAATATCGCATGAATCCCACCCAATTGAAGCTAAATTTTGTCTACAACGGCGTTATTATTGGTTTATTTTACGCGAAACCTACTGGACCTATCTCGAATTTCGATGAGTTTTGATGGTTAATTGTGAAATATTTCTCTTTGTAGTCAAAGTCAGATAATTTTGAAATTTAATGCTGGCGGAACCACATGGTTGCTCAAACCATCAATTATAAAAATCCTCGGTTCCTGGCTTTTTTAATTATATGAGCGGAAGAGTTCTGGGCCTCAGATGAATAGAAACTTATGACTGTTTATGACCCATATAAGCAATAAAAAAAAACCAGGATTTTAAATATTTGTTAGAAAAATATGACGCATTGAAAATATTTTAAAGCTTTGATGATTTTAGAAAGGGGAAACCGTTTAAAGCAATATTTCGATGGGAAAAAAATTAATACCGCGAATAAAGGTTTTTACATCAAATATTTTATTAGGTTGAATATTTAAAGTAAAATTACACGTTTGTTGTGTTCGGTTATAAAAATTTAATCTGTGATAGACCAAATTTATTTTTGCACAAATTCAATCAATACGAAGTTCCTAAGCATACTCTCAATAAGTCATCTATATAGTTCTCGTACAAAACTCTGACGGACCCGGGGGCGTTATTATTAATTTAAAAGTTCTGATCCAATCCGCACTGGTTGGCAAGTACCACTATTCTGCCTATTTTTGTCATGAATCAAACAGACGTTTTGTTTCGTAAAGTATGATAATTACCAACCACGATTTACTCTGCACTACCTTTGGTTGATTGGTAGAGAATGCCTTTGGTATTAAGTTCGCCAATGTAAATTTTATATGAAGTGTAATAAATCTATTATACATATAAATAAAATTGGTGTGCCTGTTTGTAATATTGAAATAGCCGCTTTTTACTACATGCATAGGAAATACGGTACATACACCAAAATAACATTTTTTTTACAATTTTGTCTGTCTGTTTGTTCCGGCTAATCTCTGGAACAGCTGGACCGATTTTGACGTGACTTTCACTGATAAGTTAGCTGATGATATAAGGAGTAACTTAGGCTACTTTTTTTAGACTAGCTTCGCCTCGCGGCGTCACCCGTGGTGCGTCAATAACCGCGGGTTACATCGCGGGACTCAGCTATCAATAATAAAATTTAATGTTTCCGAAGCGAAGCGAGGGCGGGTCGCTAGTAAATAAATAATTCTAATGTCTGTGGAAGTTCGGTCTAAGTATTATTATTTTTTTCATTTATGGCCTGGTATCTAGACCTTTAGGCCATTCGGTCTAAGTATTGAAAGTGAAATAATTACCAGCTGGCAAGAGGGAGGGTCTGCTTGACGCGACGCATCTCTTTGGTCGCCCAATTGGCGAGCGTCTTGGTGCGCGCCACGCGGGAGCGCCGCGCCACCTGCAGCATGTCGGTGAGCGGCTTGGTGTCGAGCATGGGCAGCACGTGCGCCCCGAACGCGTTAGTCAAGTCGCCCATGAGCCCCGATATGACCGCCATCTGGGCGTCGGTGCGGTCCTCCTCGTTCGCAACCTGAATCATGAAGTTAACGATCGCCGGCACGTGCGGCTCGACGATAGCGATGTCCGGTCGTACCTGTTTATAAATAATAATATAAAAATGAATTGCTGTTCGTTAGTCTCGCTAAAACTCAAGAACGGCTGGACCGATTTTGCTTATTTTGGTCTTAAATTATTTGTGGAAGTCCAGAGAAGGTTTAAAAGGTAGATAAATATGAAAATGCTCGGAATTATATAAAAATAATAATTTTGTTGTTCCTTTGATGTGTCCCCCGTCGGACGGATTCCTTTTGTTTGTTTTAAATTTATTTTATACAAAAGCTTAGGTCTTTTATTTATCGATTGAGGCACTACGAAGTCTGCCGGGTCAGCTAGTAAATAATAATTTTAAGGAAGCTGTATTTAAAGTTTAAGTAAGCATATATATTATTTGTTTAATAAATTTCACCAGCCAAATTAATCGAAGAATATCAATACCAATTAATTATTTTCTTGTTATTTGTTTGTTGTACATATTTTTGTTTGCTGATTTTATGGTGAAGCACCAGGCATCTACTTATAGCCTCGGAGTGATTTATTTTTTACATAAATATTGATGGATCCCGAGAACTTGGAAAAATTAATAGTTGTAGGTCACGTGGAAGGAAAGAGAAGTCGAGGAAGATTGCCAACCAGGTGGACGGACATTATCAAGGAGGCCACAAACACCAGCGTCCCGGGCGCCATTAAGCAGGCCGAATGCAGGCAGCATTGGAGGAAGCTGGTGCAAAAACTGGACCAAGGTGGTCACGACCCTCAGCAATGAGGAAACGACAGAGAAGAAGAAGATTGGTGGATATTATTCTCCAAGTCAGGATCACTAATTTAACAAGGAAATTTAGCTTAGAAAATTTCTAGAACCACAATCTATGTATGGCGGCAATCCGAAAACTCCCATGTTGAATGGAAGAAAATGTTTATTTGTGATAAATTGTGTGTAGTTACAATACAACACCTTCAAAGCTAATAATAGATTTTAGTCTAGGTATCACATTATGACTTTATTTTTACAGATTAAGCAATTATCGTAGGAACATATCTACAAATATTCTACATTTCCAATGAACATAATATTATAATCTCAACAATATTCAAGAAACTATAGTAACATACCTGAGAACCTACACCTTTAAGGCCTTGAATGATTCCAGTGTATGCTTCCAGAACGCTTTCGCGGAGTTCACCCAAATATTCAACCATATCATAGTCGTTATGGTCCACTTGAGCATTACTAGCCTGCAATCATTTCATTATTAAATGTTATCAGACAGACAATATTATAAAATTCGTTAACTTGGTATCCCAATATATGTAACATGTCCTCATTTAGTACAGGATTGATTTACCCAGGACAAACTACTGCACTTTATAGCTAAGCTTTCGACCCTTTATGAACAGACATACCTGCAATAGCATTTGCATGACGACATCAAAATATTTTCCAAAATCGCTACCAATACTCAAAGCAATGTCTCCAAATACGGATAATATTTCAGGCTTCACTGATCGGTGAATTGATGGATCACCTAAATTCTCCAATAACAAAACTATTATCTCATCACAATAGGGTGCCATCTGCAAATAAAATAAATAACGAAAAAATTACAATTGCTGACAGATAATAAATTGATAATAAAGTTTGATCAAATAGATTTTACTGACCTTATTTTTCAAGGCGCGACAGATATCACCAGTCAATCCTACAGCTGCAATGCAAACTTGGTACTCCTGGTGGTTTTTAAGACCAGTATAAAGGTATTTTTTGAATGTATCCATGTATTTTAAAAACTCTTCTCCTAAGACTTCAACAAGAGTAGAAACAGCCATCAGAGCATCCTCCTGAACACTGCCTGCTTTTCCAGCATTACTTGCAAATACAGTTAACAAAGCAGTCATTATTGTGTCTGATATTTGAGGAGCATCATCAGGAGTAACTTTTTTTAGAACCGAATGCAAGGTAGCACATAATAAACTTTGGAGGTCGTTAAATTGAGAACGGTCAGCTTGACTAGAAACATGTATTTCCATTTGTAGAACTTGTTGGAGTCTCTCAAGTATAACCATAGTGGTCTTTTGGACTGTGACATAACAGTCACTGGGCGAATTTTTGACCATTTCCATTAGAGCTTCATATGCAGCTGATCTCAAATTATGTTGAGCAGCATCTTGACGATCTGTTGTTTCAAGTAATCTCTGAACGATGAAATCAAAATAATTTGACATGCAATATGTCTTTGGCTGATTAGAATCACCCCCATCCGCTGCCTCGTATGCTGCTTCTGCCAAACCGGTGAATGCCCAACAAACATTAGCTGCAACTCTAGGTTCAGCTTTTAAACCATTTACAAGACTCTCTAATAATGGTTTCAAATATGTTTCATTGATAGCAGCTTCAGGGACAATTTCACAAATTCTACCAAATGTCCAAGCAGCGGTGTCCCTTACAGCTATACTAGAATCATACATCGCTTCAATCAAAGTTGGCATGGCATTTTCCACTAATGGTTTCAGAGTGTTAGCTCCAAGACCACCAAGAATTGAACCAAATGCCATTAGAGCAGCTTCTCTGTATCGCCAATTTTCACTTTTAATGTTACAATTAATAAACGGTAACACATGCGGTACAATTTCGTCTTCACAGCAATTTGACAAAAGCATAAGACAAACAGAAGCAGCCTTTGACGGATTCCATTCCAATTCATCATCAGAATCATCTTGTTTTGTTAGTTTTTGCATCAAGACAGGTGCAAGGTATTGAAGTGCCCCTCTTGCATAGAATCGTGAAGTTCTAGTTGGAGGTCGACCTGTGAATTTGAAGTAATAATGAATTAAGAATGTTTATACTTATTTTTTTTAAACACAACAAGAGAATAGAAGTATCACTTTCATACCTGCTTCAACTGCTTCAGCTTCTTCAATTGCGAGATCTATTTCCTCATCGCTCACATTGGACCAGAATTCAATACCTTGTAATGAAATCTCATCAATATCAGATTTCATAGCCTCAAGTGTTATGGGGAATAGAGCTTGTCCCATGTAAGGTTCCATATGTTGATAATAAAGTGATAAAATTTTCACCTGAAGATAATTTTGTTTGATTAAATACTATTTTTTAAATTCAGTAATACAGTAATTGTTTAAATTTAATCATGTCAATAGCTGGTATCCCAAAAAATAAGTATTAGCTTTGTTATTCATGTTAATATTATAAATTTATAACTGAGTAAATGTAATATTAATATAAATTTTAATTCATACACTTTCATATCTAATTAATCAACCATTAATTATGAAATTTTACATAAATGCTGTCAAGAGTACAGAAAAGGACATAAAAAGATACTATCCACAAAAAAGTAATATTCCTGAGGTATATAATTTTTTCTACTTTCATGGGAAGAAAGCTAATGTGGTAGCTAAGGTGGTATTTTATTTTTATTTTAAATATAATACTTGGATTCAAACTATATTTATAAAACTTACTAAGCATTGCAAAGCAGCAACGCTGATTCTCATGTCACTAGACTGTGTGGCTTCACAGACAACCTCCATAATAAAGTTTCTTTCATTTTCTTTTTCAAAGTTCGCTCTGGTGAATTCTAGAGAGTTGAGCAAAGCTTGAGTAGCAGCTAGTCGAACATGATTACTGGGTTCAGTTGACCTCATGCCATGTATGATGGCCGTAAGAATTTGATTACTTCTTTCTGTTAAAACTTCAGCATCAATATCCTGACAAATGTAGCCTAGAAGAATAAGAAATACATCAGTATTGTTAAAGTGATTAATAGCAATTTTCCTTTAGTATAAAGCACAATTAAAACTGTTAATTTTTATTTATTTATTTGATTATATATCATAATTTGTCATAGCTTTTTTAACTGTCAAATGTTCATTCAGTTACCAATAGCCTCCAAAGTCGCTTCCTTTTTGAGTTCAGTAGATTGGACATGAACAACATTTTCTACAAGAATTGGTATTAGATCATTCCATTGTCCTACTGGGAGCTCAGCTACTGCCACATATGCCACACACTGTGCTGCTGAACTTGGACGACTATTCTCTGTTCCTATAGCAGCTAAAATCTAAAAAATAAACTAGTTTTAAAATTAAATATAACTTGGTAACCTACACCTTCTTCTGATAGAACTTATCAGATTCTCCACCTTCGTTCGTTTGTAAAAAAAATGTATTTATTTGTGTTGTGTTAAATTATATTTATTACTAATTTTAATCTAGGTAAGACATACATAATGTTCTATCAATATTTAAAAGATAATATGTAAAAAATAAATAGGGAATTGCTATTTAGACAATAATTGAGCAATTTAGCTTTGATAATATTATATATATTTATATTATTAAGTAACTTATTAGTGAATTTTTCAATGTTTCACTTGTTTCTTGTTTGCAATATTGCCTTACATTTTCTTTTATATAAAGTCGAACATCTTCTGCCAAAGCCAGCCATCTTTGTTGATATTGTTGTTTAAGTGTAGGATCTTTAGAAGTGAGATGATTTTTCAATTGCAAACCAGCTGCCATCCTAGCCACTTGACTGTTACCACCTTGTAGAAGGACATCCGACAACATTTTGATGAATGTTGTGAAATTTGTGGTGGCAGCATGGTCGAGGTATCTAACTGCTGCTTCCAATTCATTTCGATCTGTAAGCAATAACCATAATCTAAGTACATAATTTACAAAGCGAAGTACCCCAAATTTAACTGTCTGTATACTGATATGTCACATGAAAACCAAAGGTGTTAGAGAATCAAATTTGTGAAGTCTTTTTTGTATTTTATTACCACTGAAACCAGGCGAGAATACAGGCCACCTAATGGTGAGTAGTCACGATCACTAATCCAAGTCATCAATGCCAAAGGAATATCAAAATATATTTATACGGCCCCTGTTACACATCGTTTCTTTCCTATTAGGCTATGTATGTACAAAATCGTTACCTATTCATTGAATACTACAGAATATCTACTATTTTCTAACCTTAAACTTATTTTTTTGTTTTTTATATGTACAATGAATTAAAATAGCTATTGAATTCAAAAGTTATAGCACACTTTTTCATTGAATGTTAATAATACAGACATCGTGAGGTTCGAAAGCTGAACTAGAAGTTTCCTGGATGACAGGTAAGCATTGCGGTTGGTGATACTAGATAAAATTACAGTCTCGTTTTAATTCAAATGCTTCTTGCTGAGAAATGCCATTTTTTATCCAATCTACAGTTTTTCCGGATAAATTTGAGAATCATGACAGTTTATAGGTAGCAAAAGTACGTTATTTTCTATAACGCCATCCATGTTCATGTTGATGTTAGTCATATTACTTACCAGGTGAAACTGTCTTTTCAAGTATTTGTATAAGCGTTAATGTCGTTTCTGCGTGCATTGTTTCACTATTCTTAAGTTTATGTTGCAAAAGACTGACTCAATCCCGTTTTTTGAAAAATAGAAACCGGCGGACGACGGAAGAACACTCATGAAATATTGGCTATTGTTGCCAGCAGAGGGTATTTTTAATCTATACTCTATTTCAATTGTGATAGTGTAGGACACTGGCCCACGAAATCTGGTAAAGATGTCGCTAGCAGCTGATTTTTCAAGAAAAAAGTGTGTTCGTTACTGTTAGGCATTGCTGAGCCGGTAACCGTTTCCAAGCCTCGTTATTTTTGTTATCTTTTTTATTTATTTTTTGTACTTAATTTGTGTTTGGAATAAATGTTTATTATTATTATTATTATAGTGTATTAAACACTGCCACGCCTGGGAAGACGGCAGGACACACTTCGGCGAGGTGGGCAACAATCGGCCGGAGCGTTAGGGACTATTGGGAGAGAAACCGGCGAACTATACGGGCATTGTCGAGCAAGACTGCTTTTTGCATTTGGGCCACCACCGACTTTTTGTTGAGACCAAGCCTCTCGAGATGTTTTGAGAGGCTTTTAGGGACCAAACCATTCACCGACACAACTACCGGGATTATTTCTGTAGATACCACCCTCCACATGTCGGTCACCTCGTGCGCCAGGTCCAAATATTTGGTCTTTTTATCTGCCTCGGCCCGCACGAGGTTCTCGTCGTAGGGGATGGTGATATCCACCAGAAATACCCGAGACTCCGTCTGGTCCATCAGCACGATATCAGGCTTATTCGCAAGAATAGTCCTGTCCGTA